ATACTTTCACGCCTATTCTAACAGCGCAGTACGTAAAGAACGCTATCAGCGTCCCCTTAGGAACCGAATCTTCGCTGATAGTTCTCCATCCGCACTCCGTCGCCGATAGTCCTCCTTTTAAGCCCTCGAATGAATAAATGTGCTCATCTTCTCCCTTCCGCTTCCTTCCACTGCTCACCGCCAGACTGCGGTGACGTCTCTTCTCGTCTCCCGCCCTCGCAGTTCCACCCACTCTGCCTGACGGCGCGCTTCTCTCTCGCAGGGCTGCCGTGTGTGTGTGTGTGTGTGTGTGTGTGTGTAATCTCTAGGAGACGGCGGGCTTCTCCGTGGTGAGGACGAAGTCTCCGGCCGTCTCCTTCCCCCACCCCTGCCCATCGTCGTCCTTGCGCTGTCAAGCACCCCCCCTCCAAGAGAGAGCACAGTGGGGCATGGTTGCGAAGTTTGCGAACACAAAAATGGCTTTTGTTCACAATCGGGTAAAACAGTGAATTTTATTGTTACCAAATGAACAAAAGAAATGAAGCATTCACTCCCTAGGGATTAAATATTGTCTCACTTGCTTACATTACGACAATGGAAACAAACGATGAACATGAATAAATAAATTGTATTTGAACACAATGTGAAATACGAGTGATTTGTACTTCTTTGTTTTCTCATCGAAATTTACCAGTAATACGTTTTTACTTACTATTTATCTTTATACCATTCTTTAAATTTGCTGCATCATACATTTTCTTATATATTTTGGCATTACATTTTGATGGTTACAGATGTGCTTGCAGTTCTGCCCTGGCCTCCATTAAACGCGTAGTTTTTTTATTGTCAATTTTCTTGGTGACAAACACTATTCACCTGTCAAGAATTTTAAATACATTTTCGAAAACTATTATGATCGTGGAAAAAAGTGTACACTTCGGGAAAGAAATTGTTTTTTTTTTCTTGGGAAAAATAATGCACTTCTCTCCCTTGATGTACGAATATAGTATATTTTCTATTATGTTATAAAATGAGTAATTTTCAGGTTAATCTAAGATTGCGATAATTTTTTTGTTTCAAATATCTGAAAAGCTTAACATCGTCTTGCACAAACAAAACTTTCTCCCGGTGACGTCATGCCACGATGCATGAAAGCCATTTACGCACGACATGTAGACAGAAAGGGAAGTAGCAATATTAAGTGCGCATTAACGGCAAAACAAGATTAATTTTATTATTGTTGAACTCTTGCCAATAAATAAAAAGATATAATTAACGGTTATCATGTATTTAGTAGATATTGCTATGAACGAACGCATGTTATGATGAATACACCGTGGTCGTACGTCATTTTCTCAACTGAATTAATTTTTTTCGAAAATACCTTTGGATTTTCAGGTTTATAAATTAGACAATCCAGCTTTCCCAGATTAGAACTACTCCTGTATAGTGAAAGTATCGCTATTAAGTACTTTTAATTCATTAATTATCACTTATTTATATAATAGGAACTCCATTCAAAATGAAAATAACTGTTTTAGGTCGCGATACCTTGGCCTCCTGTTACACAATCGTTAACAACGACGGGACTTAATTTCGATCAAACCATGACTATTAGAGATGAAACAAACCATGATTCGTAATACCATTTTTATAACATAGAAGAAAAAATTGTTTATACTTCGTGCGCGAAATGATTTTTTTGCGGGGTCCCAAATTGTTTTTACTTCAAACTATCGGCCTGTGTAAAAAGAACTCAATCTCGCTCGTGCGAAATACAATCATTTTATGCGCTTATTATAAAAAATAACTATTGGCTACGATCTTATGAAAAGACAAGTTTTACGTACATTTTTGCGTACTATGTGATGGAAGTATTTTCTTACAACATTGAACAACTTCATGGCACCATGTAATAAAGACTTTTGCGCGATGACGTTACACCACTGAGCAAAATTTATTTCATTCGAACAAGATGAACTAACATACCGTTTTGCTTCGATAACCATGAAGAGGGAAAATGAAACAATTAATGACTCGTAATAGAAGCATTTTATACGAAAGTACAAACATTTTTATAACTTATGAGCTAAATAATGTTATCCTCCACGATCTCTATTGTTTTTTTCCTCGACCTTTAGATTTCAACAAAAACCTCAATCTCAATCGTAGGAAAAATAACCATTTCACTCACCATAAAAATATCTATTCTAAATGACGATTGGCATTGTTTTAGCTTTTTGTATGGTTTGACTATTTTATAGATCAAAGTTTTAAAACGCGTAGTACTGGGAAAGTCTTATTAAGCAAAAGCAACCAACAGGAATATTTGCTGTAATTGCAACGCGTCAAACTATTTCAAATACGATCCTTGGGTTGGATATTAAAATATTTGTGTCGGTTTTGAATACCAAAACATTTCTGTTCCTGTTTCGGTTTTCAAACAGCTCCAAACATTTTTTCAACATATTTAATTTTGAAATTCGAAATTAATCTTGGTGCTAAAGAACTTAAATACAACGATTCTTTTTACCATTTCTTTCGCATCCTGAACAAAAACCTCGATAATTAAAAATAGAGAAATAATAACAACTGTCTACCCTAAGAGACTCTGCTCGAAAAGTGAATCTAGTTACGAAATTATGAAGGTGTAACCGACAGAGAAACCACAACCGTTTCATTACGTACCTTTTCCAGCAATTAATTTAACGTAACATCAATATTTTCGTTTTTACTCCCAATATCGTAACAATTTTAAATGTCTTGTTTTGACATCTTAGCAAATTTCTAAAAAGGAGAAGTATAAAATAGTCTATAAAATAATCATTTTCAAACATTTGCGGAACCAACAATATACTGAAAAGATTTGGAAAACGGAGTAACACCAGTGTTCTTTGGTTGTAGTTCATATGAGACTGTGAAGATAATTTTCCTTTTTCTTCTTCACTATGCTTCCATTGATTCTGGATGTCTGGCAGTGGCCCTTCCTTGACCCCCGAAATCTCTGCAATTAGTGGGTGTGAATGATGATAATGAGTGCCACACTAATTTTTAAGCAGAGGTAAGGAAGACTAGAAAGATTTTAGATCCTCCTGATTTTTGGGCTCGTAATCAAAGTGATGTTTGGCAATTTCCGTCTTCTGTAAAGGATGACAGGAGTGAATGTTATAACTTGTAAATTAAGTATTATGTTTGAGATGATGCTCACAGAGGATACGTGGATAGTATGGAAAAGCTTAGTCTGAGATTGAAAAGAAATTGAATGCGTCCTGGGCCCATTGCTTCTGCATTCGCCTGAAAATGGTAGGGAGAAATACTGGAAACTCTCTATTACAGTAACCGCTCTTTAGAAATTTAACCAACTGTACTAGGAAGTATCTACCTAAATTGATTGAGTTTCATCAATACTTTCAATTGGGTGTTGAACAAAATACGTAGATGAAAGGTAATGTAAAAGTATAATAACCAAAGACCGCGAAAAAGTCTGTAAAAATGAGAGAAAAATTGCTCAAACGATAACATTCCCATAAATTTGTTAAATTCTGAACAATGCACGAATTAAGCTTCGTATTCGAATATCTCTGTCTGCAGATGTAAATTCAATAGTTCAGTCTCGTCAGGCAGGCCGTTTTCACATCCCTAAACCAAAATGTACGGATCGGTACTACAGTACTCACTATCGCATTTGAATACTTGGAGAGTTCATTTTTACTTTCCCGTATACATACGTATATACGCAGTAATGTACGTAGTACAATGAAAGTTACGTCATGTTGCGCAAAAAACTCCCCTCAAATTTTCGGTAAAAAATTAATTGTCGGGCCCTGATAACGAAAAAGTGAATAAATCCATTCTTCTTTTGAGATAGTGCTAGATGTGTACTACAAACGTTTGGTAGGATAGTTCCAAATGTACTCTCTAAGATTACATAAAAAACATATTTCTCTATTCCTTAGTTTTTTCAAAAATTACACAATAATTGCTTTTACTTGTCTCTCATGTCGCTAATACTTTTGCATTGGCGGCGATTTGTTCACATTATTATATTAATGAGTACATGTGCTTTCGTTTCCAGTGAGAATTACCTCAAAACTCCGCATTTTCAGAAACGCTCATACGCTATTTTCTAATAAATGGCTCCTTTTTTTATTAAACTTTTCGAACAGATTGTGCTAATTACACTCTTTAATATTATGTATAGTTTATTTTCAAGTATTTTTTATTCTTTTTTAAATTACAAAAATGTAATTTTATTGAAAGGTTGCTCACGCCATTAATAAACACATTTTGATAACTTTGTAAACGCGATTGTGTTTGTGAGTTAATGTGCTTCAAATGACTTCTAATGTTTGAATTTAGAGTAGCACGTAAACGCCATTTTTTAAAACGGCTCCATTTTTTCAAAAATTGCCATTTAGGACGACTTTCAACTGTTCTTTAATGTTCATAAAATAATATTTCCATTCTACTAGTAGGAAACTGAAAAATAAAGAAAATGTCATAAAATTTACTTTGGGTGGCAACTGGCAAGTGGCTTTAGATGGCAACTGGCAAGTGTACGTGGCAAGTCCGAGTAGTTAGCCGGGAGCAAAGAAAATAGAAGTCTAAAAGACTGTGTCATTCTGTACATCACTAATTTAATAAAAAGAGAGAAATTTAGAAAAAAGCTTGAATTTCCATTTCATACTCTGTTGTTCTGCTTAGTCATTTTTGAGCTTTTTTAATTCAACTGAACATCTAGTTTCTGCCGTTTCTCTTCTACTTCCAAGAAGAAGAAAAAGAAGAAGAAGACATTTACTTAATTTCTACTGATGCACTTATTTATTCATTTTCTTAGAACTTTGTTTGTTTGATTAGTTTTGATTTTGATTGGAATATTTTTCATTGTATCGATATTTGTGCTACCTATTTTGCCCCCATTTGTAACCAAAAATCTATAATTGCAATCCAATCGATAATTTTTAATAATCGTTAAAATTCAATGTCGAAAGAAATATAATTATTTTTGCTTATTTTTTCAGTGTTTCTTCTTTAGATTCCAACCAACAAGCACAATCTGGAATGACCTGCCTTAGTAACCCAGTATACAAAGATGGGAGAGAAAATCATGCCACGGGTCTTACAAATAATGGGTGAGTTGAAAAGTTTCTTTATATTTTAATTTGGTTGTTTAAATATGGAAATCAATGTCTTATGAAAGTCTCAGTTTATTGTTTCTCTTCTCGTTAATTGATATTGCCACCGCCACCACGAAAGAGACCAATAAAGATTATTTTGCTTTATAATTGTTGTTGTTGTTGTCTAACCAATTCTAAATAAACAAAAGTAAAATATTAAAATAAAAAAAATTGATATGCCCGTGATTTTTCATATATTTGTATTTGTGCCGTTGAGTCAATTGTATTTCTGCGGTTTTCAACTCTGACGGAGGTAGATGTTTCAATGAACTATAACTCTGAATATTATTCCGTAAGCAGATGATGTGCTTACTTGAATCTCACTTACTTAATCTCTTATAAAAAAGATCCAAGTGGACAAAATCATCTTTTTAGTTCTGAAAAAAAAAGTCTTCAGCGACTGAATAAAAACAGAAAATAATACAAACTTCAATTGCAGAGCGAAAACATGGGTCAAAGTGGATGAAATACAATCATCACGCGAACATAATTTATCATGTGTACAGATTCGAAACTATATTGTATACTCTTCATAGTACATCGGGTTACTCACAGATTTTGATGCGGTACTAGTTGGTGAAGAAAGTGTACCGATGATTAGATCTTTCCTCGCCATCCACCCGGTGCTGACCAGAGGAAACGACTGACAACCTATCAAAGCATCCGACGTCTTAGAGTTCTATTAGATACACATCTCAACTACATACCCTATCGCAACCGATACGGTAATTATTATTATTATTATTATTATTATTATTATTATTATTATTATTATTATTATTTTATCACTATTTTATTAATAGTATTATCATCATCATCATTAACCAAGCGAAGTGGCACAGTGTGTAGCGCTCTGACTGCGCCGTCGGAAGGCCCGGTTTCGATCCACGAGCCGGTCATACAGGTGAATGCTGGAGTGGTTACAAAGACCACTATTACCTCTTTTATCATTTTATCACCTCACAATTCATAATTCAAGGCTTAACAACCTGTATTACCAAGGGATACAGCGGAAAAGCTGATGACGTAATGACGCATATTAATCTCTCTCCGTGATAGACTGTGGCTGGAGTCGGACTGGTTCGGACTGCGTCGGAAGAGAACGGGCAGCGTGGTAAGAAATGGTCGATACGCAAATAATAATAATAATAATAATAATAATAATAATAATAATAATATAATAATCCAGAAGAGGCAATGGAATCGGCGAAATTGTGAAGAGCTCCCAAGTTTCAAATGTAAAAGAATGTGTCCAAACTGAAATTAATTTAAGAAATAAGAATTTGAACATTTTGATTTTGTTTCCACATATGAACAATCAATTCAACCACAAACATGCACCCAACGGTCAACAGACGGCAGGTATCACAACATCGTGTCAAAAACCTACAAATTTGAGGCAATTATATTTTACACTCAAATGGAACATACAATAGAACCAGCGCGTGTCATATCTTCAGCATCAACGATCAGCGACTTCTGCCCTCCGAGATATCACCAGGCGCCAACGTGCTCGGTTCCCGGCTCACCGCCTCGGACGCCCCCCCTCCCCCCCCCCCGCTGTCAAACCTCAGATAACGGATCGACGTCGCCCCAGACCCGAGCAGCGCCGCCCGCGGGCGTGCGGGGAGGCCAGAGACCTCTGAACATTTCCACAAGTCCGCGACCTGCCTCGCCCACCGCCCTCGTCCCCCCCGCCGCCCCCACCCCACATGCCGTCTACCGCTGCCACATTCCCGTCTGCATCTGCCGCCTCCAATGCCCCTGTGCACCCTCTCCGCTTCCCTCGTTGTCGCCGACCGTGCGGCCCCGTCTTCTTTGCCACCCCCGCCTCTTGACCTCGTCCCCGCCCGCCCCCCCACCGCCACAGTCCCGTCTGCGCTCAACCCCCGCCGCCGGTCTGCACATCCGTCGATCTTGCCACCCTCCGCCTCCCAATGCCGGTTTCACCCGCTCTCCACTTCCCCTTCGCCGACCGCGTCCTCTCTTTCCTAACCCCGGCCCTGACCTCCCCCGCGCCCGTGACACCCCCCTTCCGTACATTCCCCTCTGCATCTCCACCCCCAATACTCCTGCCGCCAGCAAACGTCCCCACCACACCTCACCACTCACCCCTACCCCCACCCACCCGCACTCACTCGACTCTGCCGCTCCCGCCTCCTTTCGTCCCGCCTCGCCCCCGCAAATACTGCCTTCCGTACATACCTGCCACCTCCAGTGCACCCTGCCATATCCAACGCCCCCACTGCCTGCACCGTCACCCTTTCCCTCTTGTGACCCCTGCCGCCGCTCCCCCCGCCCCCGACAGTGCGGCACTGCCGCCCCCGCCGCTGCCATTCATTCCCCTCTCTTGTTGTTTCGTCTTCACTTCCAGCTTCTTTCCCCTAACTACACCGACTTCCGACTGTCCGTTCGTCTCCAACGACCTCGTCTCCGCCACCTGCTTCCCCGCTGCTGCCTCCTCTTTGTGATTCACTGCCTTGTTCATATCTCTCCCCTCCGTATCACCGTTTTCCTTCCCCGACACTTCATCGTTCTCGTCCTTCCTCGCGGCATAGTTTTCTAGATTCTTCCTAGCCCCTAGCGTATCTTCATTCCCCACCACCGCTTCATCCTCATTCTCCCTTGTACCGCATCCATATCCTGCTCATTCCCCGCCTCTGCTTGTCCTCTTCTTGTCATGCCTCGCCGTCTCCTCGTCCTCTTTTTTCCCCTTCCATCATCCCCGTCCGCGCCTTCCTTGTCCCTGTCTTTCCCCGCCGCTTTCATTCCCGCCACATTCTCGTGCTCACCCTTCCTCGCGGCATCCTAGTCCTCCTCCTTCTTCGTACACTCCTTATCCCCGTTCCCCACCAACTCGCCCTCCTTCTTTCCCACTGACTCTTAGACCTACTCCTTCCTCGCCCCAGCTTGTTCGTGTTTCCGACCGTCTACATGTCCTTCACCGCCACCTTGTTCTCTCCTTTGCCACTCCTGTTGCACCCCTCTTCCCAGTTGCCTCCCGGCCTCGTCCTCGTCCTTAGCCTCCGCTCTGCAGCCCGTGTCCGTCTGCTCGCTAGAGCCGCGGCCATGTTCTGAGGACCCCCCCTCCCCCGCCCCGCTCTGCGCCTTCGTCTGTCTTCACTCGCGGAGACATCAGGCAGCCGCCTCCGCCTCCGCCGCTGACAGCGAGGCCCTCTGCGCACCACAGGAAGGGCCAGGGCCCGGCAACTCTCTATCAAAACTGGGGACAAAGCTCCAGGTTGCTACTATAGGATGCAGGATGCAGTACGCTCTGAAGAAGGCCACAATACGCTGGCCGAAACGTTAGCCACCATGACATCGACGCGGCTTGTCCCGGATAGCCCAGCCAACATAAACTCCGGCCGCGGAAGCCTACGCAACCATGCTACTATAAGAAGCGCTAGTGTCGCCGGGTGCAGCTGCAGGTTAGGCTCGCCAACTTTCCCACGTACAAATTGAGTAATTTGTGAGAAATACGAAAAGTGTCTTATAAATGTACTATTATTCATAATCTATACTTATAAGAAACCACTGAAGAATGCGCGAACGTAGACGTTATCTTTTGCAACATTATGGGCCTGCTTGCGACCCGCGAACTCACGCAGTAGCCACGCACGTTTAAAGTATCGTTGGCGGCAGTTGGTGTTTTAGTTTATGTAAAGAAGGTGATGCAGCAGAGCGCACCACCGTAATGGTCTCCACCACGTTATATGGGAGTTACAGGGCCCTGGGAAGGGCTTTGTGAGGCCGTGGAATGATGTTTGGAGTGGGGGCCGTGCATGTTACTATCATATCGACGCTCAATATGTATTTCACTGTTGCTCTTCATGCGTTAACGGTTAATTTGTGGAAACTTCTGTTTGAAGTATACACAGGTTACAGACGTAACTTTGTGAAAAAAGAGAAAATATCTTTTTATCCTATGTACTACAGAAATGTTATAAGTACTGGTAAAGGTTATAGGTATTGGACTCATTAAGACCTTGTAGAACAAATGAATTGGAGAGAAAAAAAAGGTTTTATGTCACATTTTGTCGGTTTTGAGCTAACAGTGGGAAACTGTTCTTAAAATATAAATTTAATGTGTCATGCATAAAAGTTCGTTCTCTGTGGGGTCTGTATAGTGTATTTCAACTGCTACTGTTAAGAAAATAATTGACTGTTAAATAAAATAATGTTACTGTTAAGAAAATATCCGGAACATAGAAACATTTTGCTTGTACTTCAAAATCTGATGCTCCTGCATATGAAACGTTTTTGTTTCCTCCGATTCAAATAAATGGCACTGTTGAAGTTTGTTAACAGGGGCAACTGTTAAGTTTATAATCAATCAAGTCCGATGTGTGTGTCACCGGCTGTATAATGTTCAGTGCTTTTTGTTTTACTATACGTTTTAAGGAAAATTCTTAAGAAATCCGTTCGCTTTTAATATAAGTAGTTATACGCTACGTCTTGATACAACTCATTTGTTTCGATTGTTCTTTTCGGGTGGTGGTAGGTAATAATAATTTAAGGTATAAGAGAGTTAAATAAGATTTTATTTGGGAGTGGAAAATTTTACCCTCGAGTCGAACATAAGAGCTGGTTATTTTTCACGAGCGAATAAAATATTTTTCCTCTTAAGTGCCGTACTTCTAAAAGTCGAACTATAGAACGACGCTGCACGGAATCAAATAAACCACTATATCTACTATAAACTATTTCACCTATGCAACTACACAATAGTCTCCTTGAGACTTGTGGACGATGTCATACCATCATTCATCAAAAAACGGTATGGTCGAGCTGGGCACATTCCAAAATTGTTGTTTTATCCTTTTTATCTCTAAAACAATAACTTTTTACTTCACATATTCATACACTGCACTTAAACTCAAAAATTGTACGAGATATCAAAAATTGTCTCTGTTCTTAAAGAATATTTTATTTCCTTTCGACATATTTACCACGAA